AGGGCAGGGCAGGCCGGGCAGTGGGCATGGTGGAGGCTGTGCTGATCCTGAAGGAAGAGCCCTCGGGGCCAGATGCAGGAGGCGGGAGGAAGTCCTCAGGTGGCCTGGAGGCGCCTGGGGTGGCCTGGGACTGGTGGGAGGCTTGTGAAGTGCCCAGGGACAGGACACGGCCAAAGCACCAGAGCCCCCGTGTGCCCCTGCTGCCCCTGCTGCCATCTCCCCCCTGGGCACCACGCCCTCACCCCCACACGAGGAGCAGGGATGTGGCGCCTGATGTTGACCCCAGGCTCCTATCCCACACCTCGAGGTGACCCCACATGCCTGCATCTAGCGCAGAGTGACAGCTGGGAACGCGGCAGCTGCACCCTAGCCCCCGACTGGGCTGGCAGAGCCCTGCTCTGGGCTTCCCGGAACAGCTCCATGATGGGCTCCGGCACCATCGTCTGCGGTGCGCGGGCAGTGCCAGGTGGGAGGGGCCATTCAGTTGTGGGCGGCACGTGCAGGCCTTCCCCGCGGCTCACGGTCCACACGCCTCACCAGGGCTGGGTGGCGCCCACCTTTCTCCCCAACCCACCTCGGGCGTGTGTGGCATTGCATCTGGGTCCAGCTGGGCTTGCCCGATGCCCACGAGGCTGGGTGCCATTTCCGTCCATTGACCTCAGCTCCCTCTTCTGGGAGTGTCGCTCCGTCCCTTGCCCTGGTCTTGCAGCTGTCTGCCTTTCCCCTGCTGCTGGCGGAGCTCTTGCCTGCTCCAGAAGCACCCCTTGATGGCCAGTGTCCTCCTATGAGCAGCTCGCGTCCCCATCCCACAGCAGGCCCTTTCTTTCGTCCAGTTTATCAACTTATCAAAGGCGTAGCAATCTTCTCTGCATGCTGATGTTCCAGTGTCTGTCTGGACTCTCTGCCCTCCAGGGCGTCCAGGCCTGCGGTCTGCCCTGAACTGGTTGGCAGCCACAGTGAGATGGTGAGTCGTCTGGTCTCTTCCTTAGGAATCTCCCATGACCACTCCATCTGCTGATAAGATGACCCCCTGACCACTGGCAAGTGCCATCTTTGGTGTAAACCAAGTGTGTTTCTGGGTGTCTCTGGACACTCTTCTGTTCCGTTGGTCTCTGTCCATGTGCCAGCCACGGTCACCTTCACTACTGCAGCTTTCTGAGGAGTCTTGATATCCAATCAGTTTGGCAACTTGGTCCTTCAAAAGACTCTCTGTATTGGTCAGGAATGGTGGCGCAGGCCCGTAATCCAGCAACTCTGGAGGCTGAGGCAGGAGGATCCAAGATCAAGGCCAGTCTCAGCAACTTAGCAAGACCCTGTCTCAAAATAAAAAATAAAAAGGGCTGGGGGCCGGGGCTGGGCTTGTGGCTCAGTGGTAGAGCACTTGTCTAGCATGTGAGGACCTGGGTGTGATTCTCAGCACCGCGTATAAATAAATGAATAAAATAAAGGTCCATCAACGTCTTTAAAAAAAAAATTTTTTTTAAAGATGGGCTGGGGTGTGGCTCAGTGGTAAAGCATCCTGAGTTCAATCCCCAGTACAAAAAAGAAGGTTGCCTGAACTGTTCTGGACCTTTTGCATTTTTTTAAAATATAGTTTATTGCTGAACCTTTATTTTATTCATTTATTTATATGTGGTGCTGAGAATCGAGCCCGGTGTCTCACACATGCTAGGCAAGCGCTCTGCCACTGAGCCCCAGCCCAGCCCCTGCATTTTCATATAAAACCTTCAATCAGCACAAAGCGCTTGCTGGGATTCTGCCAGGAAGTGCTTTGAGGAAAACGGGCAGCTGGCCTGCACCGCACCTTCCGCACTTCCCACCTCTGAGCCCGACAGAAGCCTCCATTCATTCATGACTTCCCATTTCTCTGAGTTCTGTGGAGCTGGCTTCCCAGCCCTCAGGCAGCTCGCCCCAGGTTTCTTCCCAGGGCCTCTGTGCGTGCCGGGGTGAGTGCTCTGTGTGGTCAGTCCACCTCCTGGTTGGCTGCCCGCACAGAGATCCCAGCTTGGGAAACAGGGTGTTCCTCAGCTCCCCGGTTAGTCCTGATAATTCATCTGCGGATTCTCAGGCTTTATACACAAGAAATCATGCCATCTGGGGAAGCACCACGCCGGAAGTGTCCCCCGCCAATCCTCGTTGGTCCCGCTTCACCCTGGTGGGACGCCGCCTGCCGTCCTGGTGGGAGACTTGGCCTGTTGCCCTGGGTCAGGCAGCCAGGCTGGGCCTCTCCAGTCTTTCCCGTCGTGGCTGGAACTGTTTGTAGATTTCCCACATCAGGCCACAGAACTATTTTTAGCTTGCCAAGAGTCTTTATAGTGAGCGATGGTGAATTTTACTAAGTGACCTTTCTGTATCTATCAGAATTATCATGTCACTCTCCTCATTTATCCAGTTACCACAGTGAATTCTACTGATTTGATTTTGAAACGTGACACCAAACTTGTAGTCCTCAAACAGCTGGCCTGTGACGTACGCCATTGACCCCTGGGATCAGCTGCATTCTATCTGCTAATATTTTGCTCAGAATTTTTGCATATACTATCATAACACTGGTTAGTGTTTTCTCATTATCTCCTTACCCTGGTCCTTAATACTAAGGTTATTCTTGGACTCACTAATCAAGTTGAAACGGTTTTTTCTCCTTCTTCTCCTCCCTGGAGAGTCTGCTTAAGATTAACAGTCTGTTCTCCCTAAATGTCAGATGGAATGCACTGGAAAAAACAGACGGGCCTGGAAATTTGTGGGAATATTTCAACTGAAAGAGTCAGTTTACTTAACCTGTGAGACCATTTATATTTTCTGCTCGTTGTTTCTACTGTTATTTCTCACAGGAATTTCATTAATCGCACTTAACTTTTCACACACTCTCACCTGCCTCCGGGCCCCTGGACTCTGTGGACGGCCACCCCTGCTCTCCTGGTTCCAAGTGCTGTACTGCTCCCTGCTCCCCTCCTCTGGGAACTCCTTGGTGGGGCTGGGTTTCCTGGGTGCCCGGGAGCTGTCCATCTCTCCCTGCTCCCTCCTCCTGCAGGGATTCAACTGGACTCTGTTCATACAATCTGTGCTGTCCTCGGTCAAGATCACGCTGCTGCCCGATGAGGAGGTGGTGGTCTATGGCATTCCTTACCTGCAGAACCTTGAAGAGATCATCCACATGTACCCTCCCAGGTGAGGCCCAGAGAGGGGCCCAAGGGCCGCAGCTTGTGTGTCGCTGCCCCCTCCACACACACAGCTCCGCTCTCAGGAGAGGGCTGCATCAAGTAGGTGCCCTCAGGTGCGGGGACAAGGGAGGTCACCCTTAGCAGCTGTGGAGCCTGATGTAGAAACGAGGGGCAGGCCCACTGACGCCTGGGTCGCTCTGGCACCCGGAGCTCTGTGGGCAGGATGAGCTGGCCAAGCTGCAGCCCACTCGCCCCTGCCCTGCCTCCTGCCCCAGGACCATGCAAAACTACCTGGTCTGGCGCCTGGTGCTGGATCGCATCAGCACCCTGAGCCAGCGATTCAAGGACGCCCGCGGGAACTATCGCAAGGTGAGCACTCCCTGCTGCGGGGCTCCAGGCTGCCCGGGGCCGGGCCCTGCTCTTTCACAGGTGACTGAGCATAAGCTGGGGACCCCACAGGAGGCCACAGGGCAAAGCATGGGCTGTGCAGGCCCAGCACCTGCCCCCTGGGGCAGTCAACAACCAGCAGTCAGCAAAGCAGAAATCTCCTGTCCAAAGCAAGTGTGACTGAAGGGAGGGGACAGGAACAGAGCAAGCTGCCACAAGGAGGTGACTTTGACCTTCAGAGCAGTAAAGAGACCAGGGGAGAGTTGCAGGGAGCAGAGAGCCAGGGCAGAGGCCAGGGGCAGGAACAGGCAGCCCAGGAGGCCAGACCCAGCAAAGGGGCAAGCCAGCTTCCCAAAGGCAGGCAACCCCGCAGCCAGGAGGGGCAGCCGGGCACCGGGCAGGGCACTCGCTGGCCGGATCACATCTCCATGTCTTCCCCTTCCACCCCTGGGGACACACGGGCATGCGGTCTCATCACCACTTCAGTGGTAGGGAAACAGGGCCCAGGGGGCTGGGGCTGGTGGCCAGGGTGGACACAGTCCCCAGAGCTTGCTCTAGGGTCAATACTAGCCCTGTGTCTTGGAGGCAGATAACCAGGGCGGAGGGAGGACAGGCCCAGCAGATGACCCCACCTCTCCCAGAGTAGCGGCCCAGCACCTGGCCTGGGTGGGTGGGAGCCCCACAGCTGTCCAGCTCCCACACCCACAACCAGCACTCGGAAGCAAGTCTGAGACATCCCATGTCCCACGTCCCACTTTGGCCGGTGGCACCCCAAGACCAGGGACAGGGTGGGTCTGCTGGCCTCACAGACCCAGGGCCCCACGCGGGACCTGGGCTGTGGATGCAGCGAGAGGGTGCACCGTGAGGGCAGGCGCAGTGAGGCAGACCCCGATGCCAGGCGCTGTACGGCACCACGGTGGAGGAGGTGCGCTGGCAGGAGTGCGTGGGCTACGTGAACAGCAACATGGAGAGCGCCGTGGGCTCCCTCTACGTCAAGAAGGCCTTCTCCAAGGACAGCAAGAACATGGTGGGTGCTGCCTCCTGCCACGGGAAGGCGGGCCCTCCACACGGGGCACACCCAGGCCAGGCCCTTGTGCATCTCGCTCAGGGACATCCAGAGGGCACGTGTTTGTCCCAGGGGCCCCAGAGGGAGGCCAGGGAACCTTGCCACCCAGTGCTTCTGACCCCCAAATCCCTGCTGCCCCAAGCCCTGGGCCCTGCAGACCACCTGAGCCAGGCACAAGATCTACACAGTGAGCCCAGGGCCAGCAGGCCTTCTGCACGTCTGCAAGGACTTGAGCCCCAGGGCAGGGCCCCTGAACATGGAGGTGGTCACCCCCATACCCACACCACACCTCACCCAGGAGGCCCCCAGCTGGAGCAGCCCAGGGACACCTCCAGAGGTGTCTTAGATCCGTTCCCCAAAAGTCCCTGAAGGTGGGTCACACAGCCCCCTGATGAGTCCAGGACCCGGCCATGTGCCCCCAGGTCAAAGAACTCATCAACAAGGTGCGGGCTGTGTTTGTGGAGACCCTGGATGAGCTGAACTGGATGGACGAGGAGTCTAAGAAGAAGGCCCGGGAGAAGGTGGGCAAGCCACACAGAGCCCCCCCCCAGTAGCCCCGAGGTCAGGACCTCCACCCACTGGGGCGGCCCCAGGGCGGGAATCAGGAATGGAAATCCCCGCCACTCCAGGAACAGGCTGTGGCCAGGGGCTGTGGCCAGGGAGTGGGGGTCTGCACCTGTGGGACAAATAGGCGACTCCCCAGGCCCTGGCTGGCTACACAGTTCTTGGGGCCTTGGCCCTTAGTCCCAGGCAGGGGGCAGAACTGGCAGGTGGCCTCCTACGGGGGGCCGGGGCACAACCAGTCCTCTCGCCCTCAGGCCATGGGCATCCGGGAGCAGATCGGCTACCCAGACTACATCCTGGAGGAGAACAAGCACTTGGACGAGGAGTACTCCAGCGTGCGCCCCTACCCCCAGTGCCCTCTGCCTGTCCTGCCCACCGCCCAGCCCCTGCCTCCAAGCCGCCACAGGGGACGCGGGGCTCTGGGCCAGGCACCCTCCCACTGCCTGGGGTGGCTTTAGCCCCATCTCAGCTTACAGGCGGGGGACTCAGGTCCTCAGGTGGTTCAGAGTCACAGAGGTAGATGTTGAGGGCCAGGGCCCCACTCATCCCCCCACCCCACCGTCTGCACCCAGAGCCCGGGCCATTGCTGGCCACTGGCGAGTCTCGAGGCCCTTCCCTGACCACCCTTGACCCCTCGCCCGTCCCTCTGAGGACCCAGCCTGAGCACCGCCGTGGCCGCCCCTCTCTCATAGCTGAACTTCTCAGAGGACCTGTACTTTGAGAATGGGTTGCAGAACCTCAAGGCCAATGCCCACAGGAGCCTCAAGAAGCTTCGGGAAAAGGTGGACCAGAATCTGTGAGTGGCGTGGCCAGTGCGGCCTTCAGGAGCTACCTGCTGGGTCGGGGTGGCCCTGTGCTTGGCTGAGGCTGGGGAGGGACACTGGGCCTGTCTCAGACTCCCCCCAACCCCGTTTGGGGGAGGTGCAGAGAGTACCTGGATCTTGGGACGACCAGGCATGGCATGTGCTCTGGCACGGCCACTGTGACAGGACAGGCTTAGCCAGCCAGGGCAGGGAGGCGCCCAGGGCAGGTCCCAGCAGACGTGGGCCCAGGTGACGGTGTGTTCACCACAGCTGGATCATTGGGGCTGCCGTGGTCAACGCATTCTACTCTCCAAACCGAAACCAGATTGGTATGCCTGCCACCTCGCTGCCCACCCCGCCCCGAGTCCTGGGCAGCCCCAACCCCCGGGGCGCCAAAAAGGGAAGGCAACCCAACGGCCCCCCCAAGGCCGGGCAACCGCAAAAAGCAAAAGGAAGCAAGGGGCAAGCCCCGAAAGCAAAACAGGGCCAAAAAGCCAAAAGGGCCCCAAACCAACCCCAACCCCCCCGCCCCCAAACCCGGTTCCCCAACCAAAAAATGGGGGGGGGGTCTATCTCCCAGCCACGGGAGTGGATGGGGGACCCTGGAGGTGACACCTGAGCATGGCGCACAGATGTGCCCACTCAGTTTATTCTTTGTCCCCCCTTGGGGACAGTTTTCCCCGCTGGGATCCTCCAGCCACCCTTCTTCAGCAAGGAACAGCCGCAGGCCTTGAACTTCGGGGGCATCGGGATGGTGATTGGGCACGAGATCACACATGGCTTTGATGACAACGGTAAAGGGGCTGCCGGGGTCTCCAGACCAGATTTGCACCTGCCAGCCACACACCTGTCTCCAGGAGCTTCTGGGGCCTCCAAGGAGGTCGGGGGGACACAGGCCAGGGCAGGGGAACAGGTGCTGGACTCAAGGGAGCTGGGGCAGATTAGGTCTTGAATGCCGCCCAGGGCCCCATCCAGAGAAACCAGCAGGGGCACAGCAAGGGCACAGGGGCTGGATTCCAAGGTCACTTCCCCAAGATAGTCATGGGGATCCCCCAAGGGCACCCCTGTGCTCCGTGGGGGCCCTGTCCCCTCACCTGGGGTTTAGAAAGTTAGCACATGTCCAGAGGAGCCATAACCCAGTGTCCCTAGGACCCCAGGACCCACTAACAGCAGGCCCTAATGTCAGGGTGTGGGGGACCACGGAAGCCCTCCCTCTCTGGGGCTGAAGCACTGCAGCACACCCTGTCCCCTCTGAGCGTGTCCAGCTCTGCAGGGCTCAGGCTCTGCCCAGGAGTGTGAGCTCCAGCTCCTGGGGTCGGCTGGAGGCCATGGACAGGCCTTGGCTGGGGGGAGGGCAAGTACAGGCTGGGGCTGGGGAACAGCCAGCTCCGCACTGCCCTGCTCAGGCCGAAACTTCGACAAGAACGGCAACATGCTGGACTGGTGGAGCAACTTCTCGGCCTGGCACTTCCGGAAGCAGTCGGAGTGCATGATCTACCAGTACAGCAACTACACCTGGGACCTGGCCGACAAGCAGAACGTGAGCGCCCGCCACCACGCCCACCCGCACTCGGCCCTGGTGCTGCGGGAAAGGGGGGCCGGGGCCACGCCCACCTGTCTTCTGTGCGCAGGTGAACGGATACAGCACCCTGGGGGAGAACATCGCGGACAATGGAGGAGTGAGGCAGGCGTACAAGGTGGGTCTGAGCAGGAGCCTCGAGCAGGGGACAGAGGGCCTTCAGCATGGGCTGAGACTGTGTCCTGGGGACTCTTCCTGACTGGGCAGGCAGCATTGCCCCAGAGCACCTCCTGGCCACGGGTAGGCCCTGGGCCTCAACCGGCCTGAGGTGGCCACTTTCCATCTCCAAGTGAGGTAGTGGACTAGTGACCGCATGTCCACCCACCTCAGCATCCCTCACCTACAGCCAGGAATGGATGAGCCCTAGGTACCAGGTACCCATTCGGGTGGGCACCAGCTGGCAGGCCACCTGGCCAGACCCCAAGGAGCCCTGCTGGAGTAAGCATGCAGAGGCAGCTTGGGAATCAGGGGTGTGCCCGAGGGCCCTAAGCTGCAGAGCAGGGCCCCGTCCACAGGTCCTGGAGCCAACCTCCATTCTGCATGGAGATCAAAGGGCTCAGAAGGCCTGGCAGGACTGGCCAGGCCCAGCACCCATTTGGGCCTGCAGGCTTACTTAAAGTGGACCAAGGAGGGCGGCAAGGACCAGCAGCTGCCAGGACTGAAGCTGACCTGCGATCAGCTCTTCTTCATCAACTACGCCCAGGTGCAGCTCCTGTCCCACCCGCCCCCAGCCCCCCCACCACACCTCTGGAGGGCCCACTAGAGGGCCTCGAGGGACACTGTGAGATGGCCAGACCTCAGAACCAGAACCAGTGGTCCTGGAGGGCTTTCTGGAGGAAGAGGCTGGCAGGGGAGGGAGCTAGGAAGAGCCAGTCAGTGTGCAGGGAGGAGAGCACCTGCTGGCTTCCTCTCCCACCTGAGGGGCAGCCTGGGCCGTGGGGACTGCTGCCGGCCCCTGCCACAACCAGGGGCACCCTTCCAGCCCCACAGCCTTGTAGCCACGCCCTTGGTGCACCTGCAGGTGTGGTGCGGGTCCTACCGGCCTGAGTTTGCCATCCAGTCCATCAAGACTGACGTCCACAGTCCCCTGAAGTACAGGCAAGTGCCCCCTGCCCACACCCGTGCCCCCAAACCCACCCAGGCTCCTGTCTCAGGCTGTTCTGTCCACCCGCTCATCTGCAGGGTGCTGGGCTCATTGCAGAACCTGGCTGCCTTCGCTGACACCTTCCACTGCACCCAGGGGTCCCGCATGCACCCCAAGAAGCGATGCCGCGTCTGGTAGCCAAGGCTGAACCACACTGTGCGGTCCACACCCACCCGCTGCCCAGAGGCACCTGCAGCACAACAGTGCAGCCAGCAGGGACCTGGTAGGCACCCCGCCAGGTGGCCATGGTGCCGGCCCGACCTCCGTGCCACCCTGGAACACAGCCACCACCTGACACCGGTCACTTGACACCTCCGCATCCACCTTCGGGGGTCAGAGCCCCATGCAGCCCCGTAGACACCGTCCACCATCTTCCACCCGCTCTGAAAGCTCGCTGCTGCCAGACGTCTGTGAGCTTCAGACGCGAGCCGAGTAAACGCTTGAAAGAAGGCTACCGCCTCGTGTGTGCAGGACGGGCTGGTGGGGGTCGGGGCAGCGGCCCGGGCAAACGAGGTCAGGCGGCAAACACCCCAGTGAGCTGCTGAGGAAACGGTCTCTGAACAAGCGTCCAGCATCCTAGTGGGGACCTGGCAGTGGCCAGGATGTGCCAGACAGCCACCTCCAGGGGCCACTGACTCAAGGAGCTGAGGTGGGGAGGGCGGTGGCCCAGGGGGTCTGCGGAGCTTCAGCCTGGCACTGAAATTTTAGTTTTGTGTAACTTGAAGCCAAAGGAGTTATCAGGCTGCAAACGGCCGTATCGCCTGCCCGGTTTTTGCAAAATGACCACTGGTGTGTGGGTGGGGGACAAGGCCATGCAGGAGGACACTGTGGTCCCCAAGCTTGAACTAGGGAGACAGAGGAGGTGCTGATGTGGTCATCAGAAGCCATGTGGATAAGGGAGCCCTTGAGAGGAGAGAAATGAAGTGGGAGGGGCGCTGGAGTTCTGCTGCAGGCCTGGTGGACCCTGGAGGGAGGGCGGCTCCCAGGCCAGCAGCCCTAGCAGGGTGGCCATGATGAAACTCCAGTGGGAGAGCCTCTGCACAACACCTGATACCATCTCCACCCTGAAAACCCAACTATCCACAGGAGACCCTCAGATACAAGCACTGCTTGGGGCCAGAGCCTGCCCAAACCCTCCTCTCCCCACCCTTGGCCTACTTCCATCCTCAGAGCATGAGGCCACCTGGGGAGGAAATGATAGGACAGCAAGGGCTGTCCTCAGGGCCACATGTGCCAGGGGCCTGAAGTCTGCAGACTGCAGGACGGGTCCCCTCCAAAGGGCAACGACTTGCATGGTGGGAAGACGATACCCTGGCTCCTGGAGGACTGCCTCTCCAGTGCAGAGGAAGGTGGGGGCCACAGAGGACATAGGTGCAGAGCCAGTGGAGGAACGTGCTGACCTAGGAGCTGCAGTTTTAATGGCTGAACAGAGGAGCAGAACAGTCCAGCACCCTAGCCCAGCAGCTCTGTGACGATTCTCCTGGTTTGATTCCCAGCACACCCAAGGCAGCAGACGCCTCCCAGGTCAGAGGAGCTCAGGGTTATCACCTCCGACACACCTCCTCGTCACACTGCAAGGACAGCAGGGTCCTGTCAGGCCAGCCACATTCCCCGGGTGCCAAGAACAGGGGGCTCACCCACCCGCATACAGAAAGGAGCCTACTTAAGGCAGGAGGCCACCCACCTGAAGAGCACTCACTCCCCTCCACCTGGGGCACAGGAAGCTGGCCACCAAGACCACACTGTGACCAACAGAGGAGCCTTGGAAAAACCCAAGCCCTCCCCAGCCTCCGAGGCTCAAAAAAGAGCCCTTTCTCTGCCCTAGAGCCACCACCCATAGGGGTGGGTCCAGACATGCCTGTCCACCTGGTCATACTGCCCCTCAGTCCCTTACACTCTGATCCCTTCTGCAAGTGGGGTCACAACGACATAAATCCTGGGATACCATGAGCAGGAAAAAACAGAAATCCCCAGAGGCTGCAGCTCAGTGCTGGCCCAGGGGAGGGGTGTGCTGTGTGCAGCAGGCAGGCCTCGGCTCACCTGAGGGGGTTCGCTGGAGAAGGTCTCTGCAGAGATGCCCAGAGCCTGCAGGATGCTCTCCTGGGGGACATAATCACCTGGGGACTTCTGGACAAAATGCAGCAGAACTTTGTCACCACCTATAAAAGCAGACAGATGATCAGGGCACACTGGGAGGCCACCTGAACCTTGCACTCATGTGACAGGAGACCAGCTGACCCTGGCAACCCTGGCCAGTCACACCCTCCACCTAGTTAGAGAGACAAGAAAGCTGTTCTGCCCACAGCCTACCCTGCCAAGCCAACACTGAGGGCCAGAACACACCACGGGGAGGAACTGGGGCAGAGGGAAAGCCAAAAACAGCCACCCAGTTCCCCAGGCGTTCCCACTGAGAACGTGGCCTGCAGCCCCCGAGCCCACCTTTGCTGACTACCAGCAGCCCTCCACTCTGCAGCAGGTCTCCAGACAGGTTCCCCTGGATGCCAACAGCCTTGGCCTGGAGGGAAAAGAATAGGCTGAAGTCATTTCCTAGAGGGAGGAACTGTCCCTACTCCTGCTGACCTTGGCCATCACAGTACCTTGGCAGCGACATCCCGCACAGGCTTCCCCAGAGCAGCTGGAAGGATGCTCAAGCTATTGTACCTGCAAACACACAGCCTGCTAGCCCAGACTCTGGTGGAGCCCGAGCCCCAGAGCCCACCCTCCGGTCCTCCAGCAGATGCACAGACCAGCTATGGCTCAAGCTCTGCCCTGCCCACTCATCTCACCAGAGGCTCAGAGATGGCACAAGGCAATCAGATCAGCAACCACCCAGCCAGGAGCAGCTACTGGAGCCCTAGGACACCCAGCCTGGGGACAGATGGCCTGGAGCCCCACCAAGGGTGTGAAGTGTGGGGACCAGGCCCCAAGCTGAGCATGCCCAATGATGTGCTCAGCTGGCCCTGCCAATCAGGGCAGGCAGGCAGCCTGTGGCACCAGAAGGCTGGGATGGCCCCTGATGGAGGCACTGGACTCCAAAACCCTCTCTGGCAGTCTGGACACTGCAGCCTGCTAAAGGCAACCCTAGGTGAGAAGCCTGTTACAGAACAAGTAACACCCCAGAAACAGGCTGATGGAGGAGCTGGCTGGAGCTGCAGTGCCAACACAGCCAGCCTACTGAGGGCAGAGCCAGTAGAGGGCAGCAGCAAAAGGGGCAATGCACACCTGAACCCCTGGACCCCAACACACTTACCGCTTAAAGCCCAGCTCCTTGTAAAACTGCTTGCTCTCATCCAGGTAAAGCTCTGGAAAGGAAAGCACAAGTATGTGTCCCAGGCCCCATGCTGGCCCCCTCAGGTTCACCCTCCTGCATCCTGTCCTGTCTCCTGACCAATTACCGTGCCCAGCTCACCCATCCTGGGTCAGGAGGGCCAAGGTAAGGTGAGTGTCCCCATTGTTGAGAAGAGGGACTGAGACAAAAAAGTGACCGGTGGAATAGGGGGACCAGGATGCCGCAGGAGTCCGAGGACTCCGACCCGAGAGCACCTCGAGGCCAGGGCTGGGCAGAGCGACAGCAAACACCCAGAGTTGGGGAAGGGTCGCACCTCCGGAAAAGTAACCACCGTTCAGGAACTCCTGTAGGCCCAGGGTCTCCGGCCCGACGCCCAGCAGGCGCACGCCATGCTGGTCCAAGACACCCTGGAGGTTGCTGAGGTCCCGGGCGATCCAGCGGCACACCATGCAGCCGAAGCGCCGCAGCCCGGCCACCACGCACGCCTGCTCCTGCCACAGGCTCCGCAGCTCCACGGCCTGCGGGGCCGTAAGGTCAAGAAGCGCC